CATTGTAGACTTCATTATTTTCATCATCATCAATCTTCTAATCTATCAACCAAATTTGCTAATTCTGCCATCATCTTGCCACTTGATGAATTATGTTTTTTTTAGGAATTTATTAAGTGCAATTAATCCAATTCCTGGTGAAAATATTGGATTAAAATCAATTGACCCACTGTTAAACAATTGGATTGGATTTAGATTAATCAATCAATCAATAATAATAATAAAGAATATTAATTAAAACTTTACCCTAATTTACAAAATTCTTCCTAATTCTGAATAATTTAGCGCCATTATTGTTAATAGTGGTGTTTCTTATTGAATAACCTTTATGAATACAATGATGATGGAATTTAAATAATTAACAAAGGATTGCCTCGTATTCGCATTATAATCTAAATATGCAAATATATTATATGGATGTACAAAAACTAAATTATCATAGAAAATATGGAAATAAGATCTGAGTTAATTGTCTGAGTCTAAGTCTACGCGAGTCTATTTTATTGTTTGTCACAATGGTTATTCTGTGCATATACATCCTCAAAACCAGCGCACAAAAGGAACTCTAATTTGCCGATTTTTTTTCGTTTTATATTTTTTATTATCATTTCCGACGATCATTTACATTTTCATCCATTTCAGAAAAAATTTCCGAAATTTCACAACTTTCTCATTCAAAATTACTTTCTGTTTTACCATTGAAAGAACAACTTTACCTAATGTACATGTTTAAACACACAAAAAGAATTTTACCTACCGTTAGACGATTGGCCAGACCATATTCTACTCCTAAAGGTAATAACAGTGTTGTAGTAAATTTTATTAAAAAATGTAAATAACATAACTTTTTACTTTATAAAAATTAGATGATTTTGTTAAAGCACCTGTAAAGTTTCAGGACGTTATTGATTATGGTGTTTTTTTAGGAACAGGAGCTGGTTCATTATATGGAATCTGTAGTATAATCAACACTTCAATTGAACGTTCAATTGCACTGATTAATAAGAACATTGAACTTATTGGTAAAAACGTCGAACGTTCAATCGCACTGATTGATAAGGTAGTGAAAGAAGAATTAATGATCATAATCTAATAAATGCAAAATAATTAAAATTAAGTATCCCATCCACATATAGAAACTTGAAAAACTCGATAAGCTTGATACGGATGTCAGCAATATAAAAGGATACCTTAAAATTATGGAAAATAATTCAGTCAAAAAAAACTGAAGGAATGTGATCTCATAATTTCTCAAACAAATATGTGTAAGCAAAACAACAAACAGCTATAAATTTTTCCCTCAACAATATATTTCTTAAAATTGAACAAATTCTTTATTGCAATGCATCAGCCTTTTCGTTGTTAAATTTATTGATTGTAAACAAATTCAAACAATAAAAAGAAGTGTTGAAATTGCAAATTTTTTGTGCATGTAAGCCCTATGTGGGCAAAAATCTTTATAATTTGCATATCAAATGCAAGAAATCAGCTGATTTCCCCCACCAATTTCTACTTTTCCCAATGATCCAGAAGAAAAACGAAAACATGTTATTGAAATGGCATTGGTGTGCTTTATTTATTTATCTTTGGATCACAGTAATGAACGTGATGATCATTTTTGATTGTCCAGAAATATGTCCTATATATGCAATAAAGATCATGAAAAAGATAATATAAGAAGAAACGTAATGGTCAATGGGGGATAGTGTTGATTATTGCAGTACACTAATATATCGTCTCAAATTCTGGGAGGATTACTAGAACCCAATCCCAAATAGTAACTGTGAAAGTGTAGAATTACATAAAATCAGTCAGACAAAGTCTGTACATAATGTTATTTTGGATATATTGGCTAGAGATATGGAGAATGACTTTGTGATTTATTTAATCATCGGCCTTTACAAATAACATTTTCAACTGATGGTATAAATTATTTTATACACTATATGTTCTGGCTGAAAAAATTTTTTAATAAAATATTATCGTTTTGAGAATCTTTCCTAGCCCTTGATCTTCTGCAATAAGTATAGAATCTGCAAAGTGACGCTATTTCACATATATTAATTACCATTAATTTATTAAATTGATATTAATCTTTTGTAACCTTTTGAGTAGAAACTCTAATTAAAAGATTGTGTTCTCTAATTAATATAACAAAAGTTAGAAGACAATAATGCAAAAAAAAATTTTGTTGAAAAGTTCTTGTAATAATAAATAACTTATAAAACCGTTTTTTACTTTTATTTCTTCCTTCCCCAAGAAACCTATGCAAGCCATATATTTTCTGGAAGCTCTCGATGTGCTCTGTCTTGTCATGCTAAAACGAGCCAATAATGATTAGCTTTTTATCAAAATTACTGTGTAAACAAACAACTATGAAAGTTTTATAATATCAACAATATTGATTGATTAAGTTACTTTGTAATAATAAACCCCTCTTTATCTTTATCTTTATCAACGAAAATTTCATCAAGGATAACTTCGGGTTCTCGCAGAGGAAAATAATAAAATAAAACTCATTATTTTTATCTAAATAAAATTAATCGTTAATAGACTTTTAGAAATAAGTATAAAATCAAAAACATTGTTGTTATTTTTTATGTTTGAAACGCTTTGA